GCCCTTGGGGGCAACTCCTCTCCCAGCGCCAAAGACATTAAGAAGATATTAGACAGCGTGGGCATCGAGGCGGACGATGACCGGCTCAACAAGGTAGCTGGCTGCTTGCTTCCCTTTGGTCCGGGTACAAATGTCGGCCCGTGGGGGCCCTTACCGTATTAAAGCAGGGTCTTAACTAAAATGTGAATGGCTTGTTGGAAATGGAGGGAGGAAGGAGGCCTAAGCCGGACTTAATGGTGGTTTCTTTTTAAATACCCTTTTTTAAGGATGTTGTTCAGGCCAAGAAATGAGTGCAAGACAAAAGCCTAGTCATCATGCTTTTGTGGAAGTTTAGTACGACTCAATTTGTGTAGTTGTAATAATTTTGAGACAAGGTCTTACTGTGTAGTCCTAACCAGGAACTCGCTACGTAGATCAAGTAACTTTATTAAGTGTTCTTATTAATTATGGTGTGCAGTAGGTGATACACGCACATGAGGGTAGTTGCTTCAGAGGCCAGCGGTATCTAGTTTCTCTGGAGCTGAGATTAATGCTGTCTGACAAATGGAAGTGTGGGGCACAACTTGGGAAGGGTAGCCACCCAAACTACAGAGTGAAACCCTGTCTGGAAAGAAAAGACAAAAACAAAACAGTAGTATATGGAGTTATCAATAGAGCTACTCTTTGCCCCTAAAATGTTATAGAAAAGTATTTTACCCTCTTTAGGTTGCAGGGATGGAACCCAAACTCCTGTCATAAGCCTTTGAATGCTAGCATCTGAAACTTAACCACTGCCAGCATTATTGTTCAGAGGATTCAGTCCTGTGGCTCTTGGCCAGCTGCTGTGACAATGGTGCGGGTCTAGAAACTTCGGAACACTTGGCCCCTATGTTGTACCACCAATTGTGGCTAGGGATGTGTTGATACTGACCACTAGGTGTGGTTGTCTACCACAGGTCATCAGTGAGCTGAATGGAAAAAATATTGAGGATGTCATCGCCCAGGGTGAGTTCATTTATATGTACATATGTTTGTGGTCCATCCTAATCCCTGCTGATCAGTCAGTGATCTGCCAGGCTTCGCTTGTGGACCAGAGCATCCTAGAAGCCCTGCCAGAGTTAAGCGAGGCCTTTTTAGGCCTGTGCCAGTGGCACTTCTGAACACATTCAGGAGCTGGCAGTGGGAGCACTCTCTTGCTCCTTCCAGGATGTCAAAAGCCTTTTCTGTGGGCTGGGGACCCTAAACATTGGTACAGGTGTATAGGCTTGCCTCTGCTGGGATTAAAGGCATGCACCACCACCGCCTGGCCAGTCTTTAAATTTTTTAAGCTCTGAGTAGCCCTGCTGTCCTGGGACTCCCTGTGTAGGCCAGGCTCAGATCCACCTGACTACGGGTTTATAATGTATCACTGTCTGAAATTTGTTCTTATGTTCATTGGTGAGGATGTCAGATCCCCTGAAACTGGAGTTTCATGAACTGCCATGTAAGTGCCATGAATTGAACCTGGGTCCTCCAGAAGAGCAGTAAGTGCTCTTGAGTCCTGGGCCGTCTCTCTTATTCCTAGCTTGTTTGTGTTTGTTTAAAGGTTTTGTTTTGTTTGAGTTTAGGCTTCTCTGTATAAGAGGAGCCCTGGTCTTTTTTTTTTTTTTTTTTTTTCTCGAGACTTTATAGCTTTTGGAGCCTGTCCTAGAACTAGCTCTTGTAGATCTAAACCAGGCTGGCCTCAAACTCAGAGATCCACCTGCCTCTCTTGTTCTGGGCTTAAAAGCTTGCCCTGCCACTGCCCGCCGACCCTTTTTTTTTTTTTTTAAAGACAAAGTTTCTCTATATAGTTGCGGTTGGTTTTGAACTTAAGATTTTGTTGTGGTTAAAGCCATGCATTCACTATACCTGGGTTGTTTGTCTTTTTTTAATACTTCATTTAACTTTGTTTCTTAGTATGAAGCTGTCAAATTCCCTGAAGCTGGAGTTTGAGACAGTTGTAGGCTGCAATGTCGGTGCCTTGGTTGGTCTCTATGTGGAAGAGCTTTCTTGGCTGGACCCCTGTTCTGTTCTCATGTTTTTTTCTGTTTATGTAGGTGTTGGGAAACTTGCCAGTGTGCCTGCTGGTGGAGCTGTGGCTGTTTCTGCTGCCCCTGGCTCTGCAGCTCCTGCTGCTGGTTCTGCCCCAGC